CTGTAGGTCCTTATTTTAGCTATTTACTCACTTGCAGGCAATGTCTTGGGCATGCTTTGTGTTAGATCTTGGTTTCTCTTCATCAGGTGACAGTGGTTGAAGTAAAGGGATTTTTAAAGTAGGATTAAATAACAATACTTAGTACTTATAGCAGACATAAAAATATTATCTGATAGACTTTTTATACTAGTGTGTTTTAAAAGTACCTTTTTATCTTCTCCCTTTTTTGGCTTTGTTGGGTGATGTTTTTCATAAGTACAGAAAAACATTGAACAATTTAATTGTGTAATTCATCTTCATGTCCGTGAATGTTAGATACCAGTATCATAAAATTTGATTAAATATGCAAATATCCTTGAACATATAAAATACCCAGTCCCCTAGGTGATTACTAAATGAGTTTCTTTTGGCTCAGAATCTAAAATGTTTTTTAAGAAACCAAAATGTAAGTTTCTTTTTGCAATGTGTTTCTGTACTAGTATTTGAACTCTGAAGTATCTAATGGTTTTTGAATCCACTCTAATATAATGGTGTAACATTGGAAAGATCTGTCTCACGGGACCCCTAAATTTACCCTTCCTCAGAGCAGACAGTTTTATAGCCCTCAGTATTAAGATTCAGACCACAAGCTCAGCAGGAGTCAATAGATCAGTCAGAATGGAGCCTCGCTGAACAAACCTGAAATCAGAACGATGAAACATTGAATCATGACATGATAGTAAGGAATGCCTCCAAAGTAATTGTCACATTTGCTTGTAGTGACCTTTATAAAATACCCACGCTTGAAAATGATATTTTTAATGTTTCCTCCTCTAAAAAAATTGTCACATTCTTAAAATTGGAAACATTGCCAGAGTGGCAATTGTCTGGTGAAGCAGAAGTGCTGCATCATGGAGTGAAACAATTCTTGGCTTTGCCCCATGAATCATATTTTTTTTAATTTCGGCTTTATTTTACTTATTTTTAAAAATTTAATTTAGATTCATGGAGTACATACGCAAATTTGTTATATGGGTGTATTGCTTGATGCTGAGGTCTGGGTGTCTAACGGTCCCATCACCCAAGTGGTGACCACAGTACATGATGAGTCATTTTTCAGCCCTTGTCCCTCTCCTTCCCTCCGCATTTTGAAATCCCCAGTGTCTATCATTCCCATCGTTGGGTCTGTGTGTGCCCAATGTTTAGCTCCCACATATAAGTGAGAACATGCAGTATTAGGTTTCTTTAGCTTATTTTACTTTCTAAGAAATGGATTTATGAGGGGCTACCATAGAGAAAAGGAATGTTGATAATTTTCTTTCCTGTTGCTCTTCCCTGCCATTTCTTCTCCCTGGTATTTTCTTTGCAGGTCTGTGTTGTCGTTTGTTTTCCACTTGTTTGTTTTTTTCAGCATTGGTTTTGGTGCTGTTGACTTAGGTTGTGTGCTACAGGGATCTTGGCTATAGTGAGCCCTTCATGGCCTCACATGGCCCCTCACAGAGGTCTGTGTGTTCCATGTCTGTGCTGTATTTTGCAGGGGAGGCAGCGTATAGGCTAAAAGGGTGCTTGGCTTCTTCTACATCTAAGACATGTCATGTAACCTCTACTGTAACCTCTACCACCTTGGTTTCCTTATCTGTGAAATGGAAGGAAATAATCACATATACCTCCTAGAGTTCTGAGATGCAAATAAGATCATCTGTGGAAGTGAACACATGGTATTTGGTGTCAAGTCAGCCTTCAAGTGTTATTTTTACTATCGTCTCTACCATCCCACCATCACCAACGCTGCTGTTGCTGCTACTACTACTAATGCCACTTCTATTATTTTAATCCAACAAGGTCTTTTCCCAGAAGAAATTCCTCTCTTGTTGTAGAGCGTGGGTGATGGGAGACGAGGGACCTTGGGACCATACAGATGGTGCAAATCTACTTTCTTATGCCACTTCATAAGGGTAGACTCTAGGTGGAGCTAATCATGTGCTTTAAATTGTTGCATTGCAGCATCAGCCATATTGTTTTCCAGGATTTGCGTGGTAGGAGTTTGGCAGTCCTTCCTTCTGGTGGTCTGTGGCACCCAATCATCTGCCACAAAAATGCTTTTCCAGGTTCTGCTTCTTCTCATCTACACTTATTGAGTTGTGGAAAATTTTAGAGAGTTTCTTATTCTGAAAAAAAAAAAAAAGCCATTAATATTCAGCCAGTATCTATCAAGCAGATACAATGTGCCAGACCCTAGATTTGCCTGTGAGCCTTCTGGGGTGGATACACCTGCTGGTCCCTGCTCTTGAAGAGCTCTCAGTGCATTAGTGGAGACAGGTAAACAGGTGAGCAGGACATATGAGGGAAAAGGACAAATTCTTTCTCAAAGTTCATCTGAACAAGATCTCTTTTTCTCAGAGTCCTTGATTCCCCATGAGGAAACACCGAACCAACAATTTTGAGTGCAGTTGCCTCCAAGACTGCTGATAGAAATGTTAAGAGGATTTGAAACTTATCAAGCATAGAACTAGGTACAGCAGAAGATCTCAGGCTTTAGAAAAGAATATATTTTGGCTTTGGGGAAAAAAGTCCTTGGAGACTTTTTTATTAGAGCATATGAAGTATAGATTCATGCATAACACTAGAATATTGTAAGCTAAGAGAATTTTAAGATGGGAAAATAAATTGTGAGCATGGGTAATAAGATAAAGCTTTGAGCATGGAGGCATCCAGACCCCAATTAGTCCCTGGCCAGACCCCAACCCAGGAGACAGTTAACTGTCCAGGGACCAGGAAGAGAAGATCCTTTAGAGGTCCTTGACTCTGGGCAAAGTTGCAAGAATAAGGCCACCTCTGTGGAGTCCCTATGGGTAACGATCATCCCGTGTAAGGTGAAGATAGTAACTAATTGCTGCTGCTGCTGCTGCTGAAACCTGGCCTTGCTGAACTTGGAGCTCCTTGAACCTCAGAGCTGGGGGTCACAAACCAGGACTTGCTGGACCAAACACTGACCACAGACATACTTCGTTCACACATGGCTTTACTAGTGGAGCCTTTCTAAACTTTCTGCTTTCTGTTCTCTGAGAAAATGGGAGCTGTAGCAGCACTGGCTTGCATTTCTGCGTAATCATAAGAGGTTGCTTTCCAGTTCCAGTTGCTTCCTTGCACCATAGCAACTCCCTCAGTCCCCAGGACTCTTTCTTGTCACACACCTGCAGTTGCTTTGCTGACTCATACCACTTGCTTGACCCACATAGGCATTTGAATTCACTACTCCTGACCTAGAAAATTCCAGAAAGAAGGAGAATAGCCAGGGTTCCTAAGGGAGAAGGGCTCTGCTACCCTTAGGACTAGGATGTCCCTGTCTAATGCTCCCTGATGTAGGCGGCGGTCCCCAGAGGAGAGACTCAGAATCACTTTGGAATGATTAGACCATACAGAGCTGTGGTTCTCGATGGGAGGATGTGTGGAAAAGGCTGATGACCAGCAATTAGGTGTGAAGTCTTCTTATTCTGTGCCTGCTCTGCAGACCCAGAAGCCTTAGATGTCCTCTCCTCTGAATCCTCCCAATGCCAGGCTTAGATGGATCTACTGCCTGCCTCATCATCCAGGTACCAGCCCAGGAGCTTCCTGCTTGGCCTAGGCTGATGAGAAAGGCTATAGTGGGCTTTGCAGAATGTAAAGGGTTCGGATTGTCAGAAAAGTTGGAGAGAACATTCCAGAAGGGCAGAACTACAGAGCAAAGAACCGGAGGTGGGATTAAATGTGCCATGTGGCAGGAACATTTGGGGACTGACAAGAGCAGAGGAACGGGTCTACTCAATGTGCCCTTGAATGCTAGGTGAACACTCTGGGGGCTTATACCCAGAAAAACCAGTCATTGTTAATTTTAAATCGGGGAGTATCCTGAAGAGTGTTGGTGATGAGGGAGCTGAGTATGGTATAGGTTGAAATAGTGAGAAATAAGAGGTGGAGGAGTCATTGGAAGGTGATGACTTCAGTCACCTTGGATTTCTTGGATGCTGGTAATGGCAGGAGAGTGGAGAGACAGGGATGAGTCAGAGACAACAAACACAATACAAACAAAGAACCCAAGAAAATCTTTTTTTCTTATTGCACAAGCAGTATGTTTTTAATGTAGGAACTATAAATAGTCAGAAGTTTTAAATGTAACCGTCACTCCGAGTACCCAGAACCCTGAGGGTTACTTGTTGCTATCCTGGGGAATAGCTTTCTAGATGATGTTTTCTATGCATAGGTTGTATCCATCTTTAATAAAAATACGATTTTCCAGCTTAATTTTCTAATGTATAAGTCCATCTTTAGCTTTGTTCCACATTAGTAAACATTCATGTACAAAACTTTAATCATTATTTCATTTGCTGTTCATTATTCATCATGATTTATCTCTGCCAGCCAATTAAGATCTTTTCCATTTTTGGCTGATGTAAACACTGGAATAAATATTTAATGTAGATATCCTTATTCATTTGATTGAGCCATTTTGAACAGATTGAGAGGACTCAGAGATGGATGCCTTCTTTGTCCTTCGTATCCAATGATAACTCAACATTTGGAGCCTGAAGGATTTGGGGCATGATGGTGATATTATTGAAATAAATGAGAAAATATGGAAAAAAGAAGGATTAAGTCGTAAAGGAAGTCTGTAAACTCAGTAGTAAAGAAATTTTTGCTGCTATAGGTGTCAGTAATCCCTGTTAATAGTTGCTTGAAATTTTTATTTTTTTCTCATAGAACAAGAGGTTAGAGGCTGGTGGATGCTGACATTTGTTCAGCTGCTCCACAATATCATCAGAGACTCAAGCTGCCTCTTTCTTTATGCTCCTCCATGTTTGGCCTGTTGGCTTGTTGCCTCATGTGCTGAGATAGCTGCTGTTGCTTCTGACATCAGAGCCATGTTCCAGCTAGGAGCAAGGTGGAGTAGGGATGGCTGCCTGTATCCTTTTTATAAAGAAAACAAAAGCATATCCAGGAGATCTTGCCCCTGACCCACGCTCCTCCCTACTTCTCCCTGACAGGACTGAGTGTCATGGCCACCCCTAATTGCAAAGGAGGTTGGGAAAGGAGGAAGTTGAATTGCCAGACTGACTCGAGCTATTTTGCCTGAGGTTTGGCCTGAGTCTGAGTTCTGCTAACAAGTCACAAGAAAGTGGGTAGTGTCTGGTAAGCAATTAATAGTGTCTGTGTGCTATGCTTTGAGAAATTGAGTTACTGGGCATTCAGGAGGTTTTGTTGTAGGCAGTAAAGAACCCCTGATATCTGGGCCAAGGATCCATGATAAAAGAGAAGATTAGAGGGACGGTTGCAGAACCATAGAGAGAACAGAGGTTGATTAATCAGACGCACAAAAGTTAACAGATTATTCCATTTGAAGGAGAAAATCCTGTGAGAAGTGAGAAGAACTATGCTTTACTACATTATACATAGATGGTTTCATTTAATTCATGTAATTTTCCTAAATGAGAACCTAGTCATTCTACACATATTTATTGAATGTTTACTATGTGCCAGCCACTGAGTTAGGCACTGGGAATACAGTGGTGAGTAAAACAGGCAAAGTCTCTTCAATGCTGAGCTCACAGGTTACTGAAGGAGGTAAAAAAAATAACCAGAGGGGCACATAACAAATAATGTCGGTAGAAATAAGCACAGCAAGAAAACTTATAGTTAAACATGGGGATAGAGAGAGCAAGAGATGTGTATTTCTGACACCACGAAGCAATTTCCGCTGTCACCATTTTATTGCCAAGGACACTGAGGCAGGCCAGCCAGAATCCCAAGTGACCGGGTGGTATTCGGCAGAACCTTGCTTATGATCTAGGTTGGACTCTGAAGCACATGGTTGGGAAGACATCATGCAGCTGGGAACTGGGGAAACATTTAGTGTCTGCATCTAAGTGGAGAGCTGGAGTCTCTCATGGGACTCGGTGAGAAGAATTCAAGCTTTATGTACCATAAAGCTCTTTGGAGTTTTATCTTTGCTCTACGTCAGGAACACTCAATGCATGATTTTTACCATGACTTCTTGGTCTCTGCTGGCAAAGTGTTGTTGTTCAGACAAAAGGACCGTACCCCACCATGCCATGAGCCATGTGGGACATACCAGCACCTGCTTTGTGTGCAAGCTGGAGGGATGGTTGAAAAGAGCACAGGCTCTGGAGTCTGACTGATTGGGTTTGCACACTTACTCTCCCACTCGTTGGTGCATAAACATGGGCAAGGTAACCTCTATGGGACTGAGTTTCCCCACCTGCAAAGTTTCTACTGTGTTGTAGTGAAGAGCATGTGAGATAAGGCAGATAATGGGAGCACAAGAAATGCTTAATAAACACTGTGTTATTTTTGTTGGTAGCGTTTAGAAACTCTTTGCATTATTTTCTGTTATGCTCACATTGCAGAGCTAGCCTCAGAAAGACACGTTTTTCCATGCAGAATTCTCACATTCACAAGTTTATAAATTGTGAACAGCCTGGCGACATGATAAGGCACTGTGTCCCCCCGATGGCATATTTCTGAAGCACAGCATGCTCGAAATTTTATCTTCCCATTTTACATGCTTTTGCAGACAGCACAATATGGAACCGGTCAGGCTCCTAATTATGACAGCAGTCCAGAGCCAAAATCCAATCATCCAGTTGACAAAGGACTTGGTACAGAGAACGGTGACCAGCTGTTCCCCATCTCCAGTGAGCAGCGAGTAAGAGGAAATGGGTTTAAGCTGCATGAAGGATTTGGGTTATTTATGGCAGAATTTCCTGACCGTGAAGGTTGCTCAACATTAGGACTGGATTACAGAGAGAGGTTGTAGAATTCCCGTCTGTGGAGATTCCGAAAACACGTTCTTGTTTGCGAGGTTACTACAGATGCTGCCTTCCCACTGTGCGTTCTCTCTTGTCGCTCTCCCTTTCTACCCATCTGGTCCTTGTAACCAAAATGAACCTTCACTAAGACATTGGGGGCAGGGCTGTGATGTGGAGAAGGGAAAAGGGATCACAGTGAACTGGTCAGAACATCATCCACTTTTTGACATTTTGATTGCAGGCTTCGGCATTTTGGGTGAGGACACACAAACACAAATTCATTTAGTTAACCTAGGACTGAAAAGACCACCTGGGCCAGGTGAAAAACAAAAATGGTCAGGTTTACAAGTTTGATGAACTTGGAGAACACGTGCCCCATCCTAAGGACACAGGCTTTACTGTGGTCAGCCAATTCTTTTTCTTTTTTTTTTTTTTGAGATGAAGTCTTGCTCTGTCACCCAAGCTGGAGTGCAGTGGTGCAATCTCAACTCACAGCAACCTCCGCCTCCTGAGTTTAAGTGATTCTCCTGCCTCAGCCTCCGAAGTAGTTGGGACTATAGGCACCCGCCACCATGCCCAGCTAATTTTTTGTATTTTTGGTAGAGACGGGGTTTCACCGTGTTAGCCAATTCTTATCACAAGGCCTGTGGGAATGCACACTGTTGCCAAGCTGATTTTCAAGAGCGGTATGAAATTTGGGGAATTTTAAAATTCTGGCAACTAATGTTTTAAGAGCCAGTTATGTACGTACCAAGGCGAACACAGATCTGTGGGTCATAATTCCATGTGCACAGCGCTTGTTTGTGACCTCTGATCTGTGAGGTCACTTTGGTCTGTTGGCCCTTCTAGCAAGTAGGGGAATGAGCATCTCTCCAAGTTCAGACACGGGTTTGAGGTGGCAGAATTTGTCTTTTAAAATGGAAAACCTATATATTTACATTTATGAGCTGAACCATAAGAAATTGACATTTTTATGTATCGACAATAATCAAATATTGTCAATTTCATGTGCTTCAATCTAAAAGGAATCATCCACTTAAGCGAAACTAGAATCTGAAATACAGACTGTGTTCTGTCCTGCAGCATCAAACATTTCTGCCTCCTCTGAGACGAAGAAAGCACTCACTCACTGTTCTGGCACCCCACGTTATTTACTAGCAGACCGTGCCTGGCAGATGGAGGTGACATCAGCCATTGCCTGAGTAACATCCATCTTCTCATTTGCACCAAGCAGCTTAAAGAGTCTGCCCTTCCAGGGACTAATGGCTTTAACATTGTTGAAGTTCCTTTTAGCAGCAGCATAGCCATTTGTGGAAATTTTTCAGATAATCATCTTTCTCTTCTTTTGTCTTTCCATCAATTAGTTATAGGCTATCATTTTCTACAGATATTAGTTTCTATCGATATCATTGCAGAAATCAACTGGACATAGCTGAGGGTGAAACAGTTGTTATCCTCAGGCAGGTAGACACACTCCACCTCCAAAAGCAGTAAGATCAGTTTCTTCCCGGATCCGCAACTGCAGTGATTCAGGTGTGAATCGGATTGCTTACTGATGGTGCATTCTCTTGAACAAAAAAAGTGCATTGAGGGAGACACAGCTGGCAGACGACCTAATGGGAACGTGGAGGGGAGGTTCCACCTCAGATGCCACATCTTCCCTGCTACTCCCAGACCAAATCCTGAGGTTTGAAAAGGGGGTTGGTACCAAGCCTTTGTCACGTTTGAGAGAAGGACAGGAAGAGAGCCTCACTTTTCTCACTGGCTTTCCCATGCATCCTAGAACTCAAACTCCAATGAAAGCATTTCTTTAGTTCCAAGAGCTCTCTGGATGAATAGGGTAATGGGTTTCTTTTTATTTTCTTCTTTTTTAACTATTTAATGTTGACTTCATATTGGTTTATAAACTGCAACCTCTTCGTGAATTTCCTTCATAATATAGAAAATTTATTTTGACCAAATGGATAATGCATTTTTATTGTCTTAATTAACTGGAATTCCAACATTCCCTTCCCCCATTTCTTTGCTTTTAATGAAAAGTAGCAAATGAATAAAAACCATACAAAAAGAGAGGAAAAAAAACTATAATCAGAGACTTAACCAAACAAAACTCCCCACTAAAACCAAACTTTGCAGAAACCATTTTCAAAGTTCCTATGAAATCAATCATCTGGAGATATATTTTGAAGGGAAAAAAGTGCTCTGTAAAATGATTAGCTTAGTTTCTTCATGTGACCTAAAAAAGGGCAGGTGAATATAATCTACTTCTCACCCCACTGATGGCAAATACTTTGAAAGTCATATTAATCATTTAGAAAGTATGTTACCACACATGAGACACTCCAGCTGCCTCTTTGGTCTCATAAGTGTGTACAGAATTATTTTTATGTGCCCAAAGCACCTAAACCCTACACGCTCTGTGTGGCTGACTGAGAAACTGCAGAGCAGATGTCTGAAGGACTGATGTGCTGAGCCCTGGGCTATGTTGTGAGGCACAGCCATCTCCAGCTAGCCTTCCTTGTATCCGACGCTTTTTAGACTTTCCCACTGACCACAGACTCCCCACAGCTTTGTGCCTCGGTTTGTAGATTGATGGCAATGCAAGGGGACTAAAAGTAAAGAAAGATAAATGTCAAACTCTTATTCAGAGGAAGGAAGAGAAGGGAAAAGAGCTATAAATTTAAAAATATTTTTTCATGTTTACTGAGCCTGGTAGCAGAGATACATGGAAACTCATTGCCTAGCAGTTGTTTAATGCTGATGGGTGGAGTCATCATTATTACTATCATCAAGAACTTTTATTTACTCAACACTTTCTGTATGTCAGGCACTGTCTAAATGCTTCTCATGCATCGATGCATTTAATTTTCACAGCTCTGTAAAATAAGTACAGTTGACCCTTGGGCGACATGGATCCGAACTGTGTGGGATCACTAATAACAGATTTTCTCTTTTTTTCACATAAATTTGTACTTTCATTTCTTATTCTTGAGGTTAGATTCTAAACCCTAAAGATATCCAGACTGGTATTAGATCTACTTATCTATAGCCAGAGACAGCTTCTATCATGTTGTCCTTAGCAGCCAAGGTTATTAAAATGTCTTTCCTCCAGGAAGATCCAATAGGAAAAAAGACAGAAACCTCTCTGATTAGGCTCCAGCCAAACCCCACCCTCCATCAAATTGACTGGATAGGCATAATGGAAACCAGAACATGTGGTTTCCAAAAAAGAAAAATCCTATGAGGGAGGGGAGGAGGGGAGAGGAAGGATTCAGTCAGTGCCCAGAGTCAAATTGAGTAATATCAATTTCGCTCACCTGCACACATCTTCAGGTTGCATGTTCGTGGAGTAGTTTAGGAATA